ATAAATAAATATTAAAAATTCTCTCTCTCTCTCTCTCTCTCTCTCTCTCTTTAAAAAAAAAAATTATTTAAAACAGGCACAACAGTTCATGCCTGTAATTCCAGCAGCTCAAGAGGCTGCGGCAGGAGAATCTCAAGTTCAAAGCCAACCTCAGCAACTTTAAGAGGCTGTAAGCAACTCAGGGAGACCACAAAATTTAAAAAAGAAAATGAGCTAGAGATGTGGCTTACTGTTTCACACCTCTGGGTTTCATCCCTGGTATCAAAAAAATTCAAATTAAAAATAAAAATTATTTGAAAGACTATAGGAATTCAGAGCTGAGCTACAAAAACAGTCAAGAGATCAAATTTATTACTTCAAAAACTTAAAAAGGGACCAAATATTTCCATAACTCAGAAAATGAAATCATTATTATCTTTGCTTACAGGCCGGTTCTATTATGGGTCAAAAGGCAACATGTCATTAACAGAAAACAGTGACTTTATAAAATATACACTCTTTCTATCAACAGATTAAAGTACTAAACCCAAGTCTTCGTTTCCTATCCTACTGAAATCCCCAGAGCACGCATCATTTAAGGATAAGGAAAATATCTGTCTACAGAATCACTCAAAACAAAACTGCTTGGGGAAAACCACCAGTTTAGTGGCTAAACCTTGCTTACTCTTCTTTAAAAGTCCTCCATAGTCCACACCCCTGTCCAACCCTTCCTTGGTTCCATTCCTTCTTAATAGTAAAGGTTACTAGATAATTGCTATGACTCATACTACAAATGTCTCATGCCAAGATGTCAATGATTTATGACAACTTTTAAATAGGCTGTGTTATCACAGTCACCTTCTGAACACAATGGGATGACCAATGGATCTTACTTCCCCAGAATTCCTCCAGACCATGTGAAAGAGGTTTCTACAAAACAAAGTTTTACACCACCTGTTATCAATTTCAAAACAAAATTGAAAACTAGTTTCTGAAAAATTTTTATACTTTTGCCATAATGGAGTGCTCTAAGACATGTCTCTCAGGCACTATGGATACTCAAATACTCTCCAGTATCTGAGAGTATCTGAGGATTACTAATAGAAAGGCCTTTCAGTTCCCATTGCACAATATCATGTATTTTCCTACCCACTAAATTGGCCCTAATTATATTAACTGACCAGTCATTATAACTAACTAGATCTCAACAAATGCTTTCAAAAAGCTTCGTATACATCAACTTTTTAAAAATAATGACTGCATACCAGGCACGGTGGCATATGCCTGTAATTTCAGCAGCTCATGAGGCTGAGGCAGAAGGATTGTGAGTTCAAAGCCAGCTTCAGCAATTTAGTGAGGCACTGAGCAATACGGCAGGACCCTATCTCTAAACATAACATTAAAGGGGGAGGGGGATGTGGCTCAGTGGTTAGGCACCCCAAGTTCAATCCCTGGTACCAAAAAACAAAAAAACAACAATGAAGCCTATTTTCTACCTAACTTCCTAACATTCAAGGTAATACACAGGGAAAGACAGGAAGAGCTTTGGAGTCAGACACACCCAAATTCAAAAGCTAGCTACGTTGGCCAAGCTGTATAGTCAAAGGTCAGTTACT